CTATCTATCTGTCTCTGTCTGTCTGTCTGTCTGTCTGTCTGCCTATCTACCTATCTATCTATCTATCTATCTATCTATCTATCTATCTATCTATCTATCTATCTATCTATCTATCTGTCTGTCTATCTGTCTGTCTGTCTGTCTGTCTGTCTGTCCGTCCGTCCGTCTGTCCGTCTGTCTGTCCATCTATCTATCCATCCCCCAAGTCTACTGAAGTATGTTTTGCAAGAAAATACTATTTTAGTTGTTCTACTTAAAAAATGTCATATTTATTTGTTACTTGCCATTTCTTTGTAATTATTTGTAAACATTTACTGGCAATTTCTGAGTTAAAATTATTTCAAAGTAAGTCCTTCATTATTTTCCACATAATTGTTTTTTTCAGTCTATCTATCATCTATTTTGAATAGAATACTTTACATATGTGCTTATTGAAAACACTCCATAAACACACACGCGTGCGTGCACACACACACACACACACACACACACACAAAGTAAATGGGGAAGTTTGGAGCTTTCACATTCACTTCCCCAAAATCTGAATGTGAGATACTTTTATGGACACTTGTGTAATGTCATCTCTTTTCTAGAGTTGAGTGCTCTGCAAGTCTTTTATTTTTGGATTTAAAAAATCCCTTAATGGAGATTCAAACAATATAATAAATGAGCTTGATGAGATTATTGAGGATAAATCAGATGTCATCTTGAATGCTTGGTTCTTATTTCGATAGGACTGTTTTTAACTGTAGCTGACCAGAGCATTGTGACTACTGAGTGGGAACCCGAGGGTTTTGAGAGTCTGTGTGTTCTCATGTTTTCCCAATAGTGCATTGCAGGGTATTTTCAGGCACCACAGGAAGTCCTGCACACACACGCTCTCTCTCTCTCACTCTCTCACAGACACACACACACACACACTGTCTCTGTTGCACAACAGTCCTGAGGAGCTCTCTAACTAACTCACTCTACAGAGGACAACAGCCACAACACCATCATTCAGCTTGAGAAAAGTTGAACTTAGATGTATGTTTTGTTATGTTGTTAACAGTAATCACTCACAAAAGGCTTTCCTTAGACAGTCGCTTAGCTACCTTTTTGAGGGACATTTCTGATTAAACGAGGGCCACTATTATGGACCATATATTCAATCATGGCCCTACAATGGCCAAGGTGGGTCAAAAGGTACAGCTGAATGTTGGGAGAACAACTGTTTCCTCAGTCATTCAAATGTTTCATAGACAGAACAGGTATTTTGACAAGGTGCACTGTGCTTTAATACTGTATAATTACTGTAATGCTTCATATCTTGTTTGTGAACAATTACACAAGACTTGTCATTCTGATGACACTGATATGTTTAATCACATAAATACTTACTTTTGAGAGATGGATTTTGAGAAAATGACAGGTTTTTGCAGGTAATCCAACACTGTGTAGTGCTGTTTGTACAAATTGTTTTGAGAAAATGCACTTATTGGTTTGTAAATGTTACCCAACAGGCATCTTGACATCAGTTTCAACTTAAATATTAGTCAAGACTTGATCAAAATGGTGTAACATCATTGTAAATTCAGTTTGGATGGCCATTTCTTCCAGTGTGAAAATAGGAAGTTAATTCCACATATAAATTGGTTTAATGTATATGTAGGCCAATATTTTTGATGTTCAATTTACATCGAATCAACGTCATGTCAAGTTTTTGATGTCAGTTTGATTTGCATATTGATCTGTTATTTTTAACGTTACTTTTGGTCAATTTGCCATCTTTTCAACATCAATTGCCCACTGGGTAAATATGATTCTAGAAATGTAATAAACCAAGTGAAAAAACTGTAATAAAGAAAAATCTTTCAGAATATTCAAACAGTCAAATCAAGTATACACTTTTTAAAAGCATTAGAAGCTATTTGTTTGAAAAATTGCTAGTAACAATATTATTGTTACTATAAAAAGTTGCTCATTCACACTCGTTCACAAAATTTTGGCCTTTGGAATTTATTTACCAAAAATGTCATGTTTATCTGCATCCTGCATTTTGTGCATAACCTGTTTACCACATTATTGTCCTCCATTATATTAAACCGAACATTGCATAAAAATTGTGACACCCAAAAAGAAATGATTCCGATGTGGTTCCAAATTTAGGATAATTTTTTAACCATCTTGGGAACCATTCTATCCATTCTGGGGAAGTTTTTATATTTGATTTGCTTTCATCTTTTTTCATTTTTGATGTTTATTTATTTGTTTATTTAATTTATGTATAATAGAAATAGAACTTTTTATTTCCTAGTTCTTCAGAAAAAAGATCTATATACTGGTCAACTGCATAATTTTATTTGTGTAAATGAGCTGTCTGACTTAACACAAGGTACTGTATGGTGTTCAACAAGGTTCAGTCTTGGGCCTTTTGTTGTTCTGTATGTACATGCTCCCTTTTGGAGTTATTATTAGACAGCATGTTATTACGATTCATAGCTAACACACAGCTTTTCTCCAGATAAGTTTTTTTTTTAATTGGTGGATTACATTAAGGAGATTTAACACAAACTATTAAGTAATTTCCAGGATCAAAACAGTTAACTTATAAACTTTGTCTGTAAGACCTTTTTTTTTTACACCAATAGTTTCCACCTAAGAAATTATGGTTAGTTATGGAACATTCTCTTCTTATTATGATGCTGATAAAGTAGAGAATGTATTCATAACTGATCCTGATTATTACATTGTAATGCCGAGTACATTCCAATCATCTTTCCACTGCTTACTTGTCCAGTTTCACAGCAGTTATGGTCTAGTCCATCAATATCTAAGAGGACACTTAAGTAACTTCTTCTGTTTCTCTAACCACACCTTTCAAGAGACCAGTTTTGAGGTTCACTGGCTCTGGCCTTGCCCTTTTTTCAACTCCACAGCTCCTTTTCATCGGCGTTTATCTCACTCAGTTTCAGATCTTAACCAGTGTCTGTCACCAAAAGAGGATGTTTCTCATTATCAATCCTGCATGTTTTATTAATTTATTGAAACATGTTAGGTGAGGTGGGATTCCCCAACTGGATGTTGGTTTCTCCCAGAGCTGCTTGCTTATCATATCTCACTGTATCTTATTTTATCCTGGGGAGTTTTTCTTTTTTTATCGTCTTCCGCTTGCTGGGAAATATACAGTAAGGCACTATTCTTTTTTGAAATTATTTTTATTGTGCCATGTGCTAACATATACTGTATGTAAAAAGAATTTAATTAAATTGTTTAAAAGAACCAGTTAACAAATATACACTTTCTCCAAATAACCAGATATAGGAAACAGAGATAAAAGAGGGGTTTTTGGAGCAAAGATGCTGAACATAACAACTGAAAGGCCATTATATTAAGTGCCACAGTACTTAATGACAATCTTCAGAGCATGAAGAATTTCTGATAGTCATAGCTAAAAACTAGTGGATCACTGCTCAACTGTAGTGATCCGATATGCAGTTTGCAAGTGCTGAACATGCCAAGGAGAGCAGTACTGACGCTCTACCTCCATCATCTGGCAATTAAGAGTATCTTGTACAGTATATGTCTACATCTGCTGGTGCTGAAGCTTTGTCTCTACCCCGCTGAAATTAGACTAATTTGGACCAGCTTGAATTCCAAGATGGTCTTAATTGGTTTTAGATGAGCAATGCTATCCTGTTACTGTCACAAGCTGGTTAAGATACTCTCTCATGTATACCAAAGCAGTGTAACCATTCTGAACTGACATGAAAGTGACCAATAATCTAACAACAACAATAACAACAGTAGTAGTAGTAGTAGTGTTGCTAAAAACAGCATCAGTTAGTTTTTTTTAAATTTATTATTATTTATTCGGGTAGATTCATAATGCATAAAATTGCACTAATGGGTGACTCTCAGAACAATACTTTCCGGTCATATACTATATTGAAAAAAATATTATTATTGAATTTGGGTTGGTGTATAAAATCAAGTACCTAGCCATGCAGTCTACATTTAAGAACATTTGTGAGAAAACGGGTGTTTCTTTTTTGAGTTCCTTTTGATCACTCTAATGACAAAAGCAGAAGTAGAATTCATTTTCTTTGATGCACCAATGCATTTACAAGCTCCTAAAGCATTTCTGTCAATGTGATAAATTATACAGTCTTTCAGGGCAATGAGATGCAGATTATGGGTCTTAGCTGAACATAAATATAGTTCATTAAAATTCAGTAGATTTTAAAGATTAATCCTCCTGTTCTGTTTGGGGTCTGAAAGAAAATGTATAATTATGTTTTAGAAAAAATAATCAATTTGGTGTCTAAGTGTTTTCACACATATACATTACTTTGGGAATAGTTTGGGGAAGACGCTTTTCTATTCCAGCATAACTGTTTACAAAGCAAGGTCCATAAAGACATTGTTACTTTTGAGTTTGTACATTTTATTTGTAAAATGTATAATTTTTATATTGTTTAATGTTTTTTTTTTAAATTTTTTTATTTAAATCTGAATTGAATTATACTACTAGTACTACTACTACTACATTATTTCCCATTACAGTGATAAATATTGTTCAGGACAAACCGCTTAATTAAAAAAAAGAAAAGAAAAAAAAAGTTTTAATGTCAGAAATCTCAAAGGTCCTACATTAGATCCTTTTGCATTTTTATCCATGAAAATATATGTATACGGGGTGCACTATCACCCGGACACGTTTATAAGATTCGCCCGAATATCCTTTATGGGAACAGCGGCATAACAGCTGCTGTCTGACGAACCCGGAGCGCTTTCATCAGCAGTCTCCAGTGTCGGCACTGGTCCTCCTTCATCCCGAGTCCAAGCGAGCAGCAGCAGAGGCACAGACATGTCTGTCTAGAGCTCCAGCAGCATATGTATCGTCCTGTTATGTCGGGTTTAGGATGATATGGGCTCTGCGGAAGATGTGACAGCTATCCGCGGGCGTCATGAGGATATTAACGGCGTCGGGGCTCTTCCTGGCCTTCTGCTCCATCGGGCTCTTGACCATGGCCATCAGCACGGACTACTGGTACGAAACAGATGCGCGGAAACACCGGGACCGATGCAAAAAATACGCCAGCAAGAGAAATGACCCAGGGTACATATACATCTCCAACCAGAATCTCCCACTCCGGACGCGACCTAAAGCGAGTCCTCTGCGGGAATCCCCGCACCCTGAGCCCGTCGTGGAATCGCGCTGCAGCCGCCGCTACAACTCGACCACAACCGGACTGTGGAGGAAATGCCACCGAGAAGGCTTCGATCTGGAGAACGAGGACCTGATTTTTAAAGGTGATGATGATGCTAAATGGGCCACATGTGAGCAGTACCCAGATCTGAAGCTGATGTTGCAGAGCTGTAGCGTGTTTATGTGTTTACTGAACATGTGTGAAGGAGTGCGGAAGAATGCTTGGCGCTATCCAAGGTGCTGATCTCTAACATCAACACCAACACCAACCACACGCTCACGTTCACACTTTCATCACATTTCAGCTCAAATACAGAAACAGATGGAGACTGTCAGGGCAATGGGATCCATTTGAGGTCTAAAGAGACCACGAGGCCCTTTTATTAAGGGAAAACACAACCCTCTCTGGTACAGACAGTATATTATATTTGTTTCTTTTTCATGTTACTTTTGATTACTCTAATAACAAAAGCAGAAATAATTTTTAAAATGATAAAAAATTATACGTTTTCTTTGATGCACTGATGCATGTACGTCTTTTATGTGATAAATTATACAGTCTTTCAGGGCAATGAGATGCAGCTTTTGGGTCTTAGCCAAAGATAAATAAACTTGCTTAAAATTCAGTAGATTTTTACTCCTGTTCTAACGTTTGGGGTCCGAGAGAAAATTTATGACTATGTTTTATAAAAATAATCAGCTTGATGTCTAAGCACTTTCCACACATACATTACCGAAATAAAACATAAATCCAATCAAATTTCTGACTGATGTAGTACTCTCCTGTGTACATACAGCAAAATTTTATATAGATTGTACAAATTATATTTACCTCCATCATCTGGCAATTAAGAGTATCTTGTACAGTATATGTCTACATCTGCTGGTGCTGAAGCTTTGTCTCTACCCCGCTGAAATTAGACTAATTTGGACCAGCTTGAATTCCAAGATGGTCTTAATTGGTTTTAGATGAGCAATGCTATCCTGTTACTGTCACAAGCTGGTTAAGATACTCTCTCATGTATACCAAAGCAGTGTAACCATTCTGAACTGACATGAAAGTGACCAATAATCTAACAACAACAATAACAACAGTAGTAGTAGTAGTAGTGTTGCTAAAAACAGCATCAGTTAGTTTTTTTTAAATTTATTATTATTTATTCGGGTAGATTCATAATGCATAAAATTGCACTAATGGGTGACTCTCAGAACAATACTTTCCGGTCATATACTATATTGAAAAAAATATTATTATTGAATTTGGGTTGGTGTATAAAATCAAGTACCTAGCCATGCAGTCTACATTTAAGAACATTTGTGAGAAAACGGGTGTTTCTTTTTTGAGTTCTTTTTGATCACTCTAATGACAAAAGCAGAAGTAGAATTCATTTTCTTTGATGCACCAATGCATTTACAAGCTCCTAAAGCATTTCTGTCAATGTGATAAATTATACAGTCTTTCAGGGCAATGAGATGCAGATTATGGGTCTTAAAATTCAGTAGATTTTAAAGATTAATCCTCCTGTTCTGTTTGGGGTCTGAAAGAAAATGTATAATTATGTTTTAGAAAAAATAATCAATTTGGTGTCTAAGTGTTTTCACACATATACATTACTTTGGGAATAGTTTGGGGAAGACGCTTTTCTATTCCAGCATAACTGTTTACAAAGCAAGGTCCATAAAGACATTGTTACTTTTGAGTTTGTACATTTTATTTGTAAAATGTATAATTTTTATATTGTTTAATGTTTTTTTTTTAAATTTTTTTATTTAAATCTGAATTGAATTATACTACTAGTACTACTACTACTACATTATTTCCCATTACAGTGATAAATATTGTTCAGGACAAACCGCTTAATTAAAAAAAAGAAAAGAAAAAAAAAGTTTTAATGTCAGAAATCTCAAAGGTCCTACATTAGATCCTTTTGCATTTTTATCCATGAAAATATATGTATACGGGGTGCACTATAAAATCCAATCAAATTTCTGACAGATGTAGTAGTACTCTCCTGTCAGAGTGTATATCGCAAAATTATATATAAATTGTAACAATGACATACTTCAGTGTGTTCCTGCTGGGATCAAACTGTAACCAAATGGGCATATTTTTCCAATTTTTTTTTACAATAAAGATTCCAAAAGGTGGCCTTTGCTGAGATGGGTTCCCCAAAGAACCCTTCTGTGAACAGTGAACATTATTTTTCTTATTGTGGAGAACATTTTAATAATTTAAAGAACCTTTTTCCACTATAAAGAAACTTTGTGCAATAGAAGGTCTCCATGGATGTTAAAGGTTCTTCATGGACCTATGGATGCCACTAAAGAACCAAAAATTTAAATTATGAGAACTGAATTTATTATTATTCAGTTATAAATATTTTTACATGTACACCACTGGGACCCCAAAGAGGAAGTGAAGTCAATCTCAGCAGGACATGAGAATTTATTGACTTTGATTAATGTTATTTATGGTCCAGTTACTAGTACTACTACTACTACATTATTTCCCATTACAGTGATAAATATTGTTCAGGACAAACCGCTTAATTAAAAAAAAGAAAAGAAAAAAAAAGTTTTAATGTCAGAAATCTCAAAGGTCCTACATTAGATCCTTTTGCATTTTTATCCATGAAAATATATGTATACGGGGTGCACTATCACCCGGACACGTTTATAAGATTCGCCCGAATATCCTTTATGGGAACAGCGGCATAACAGCTGCTGTCTGACGAACCCGGAGCGCTTTCATCAGCAGTCTCCAGTGTCGGCACTGGTCCTCCTTCATCCCGAGTCCAAGCGAGCAGCAGCAGAGGCACAGACATGTCTGTCTAGAGCTCCAGCAGCATATGTATCGTCCTGTTATGTCGGGTTTAGGATGATATGGGCTCTGCGGAAGATGTGACAGCTATCCGCGGGCGTCATGAGGATATTAACGGCGTCGGGGCTCTTCCTGGCCTTCTGCTCCATCGGGCTCTTGACCATGGCCATCAGCACGGACTACTGGTACGAAACAGATGCGCGGAAACACCGGGACCGATGCAAAAAATACGCCAGCAAGAGAAATGACCCAGGGTACATATACATCTCCAACCAGAATCTCCCACTCCGGACGCGACCTAAAGCGAGTCCTCTGCGGGAATCCCCGCACCCTGAGCCCGTCGTGGAATCGCGCTGCAGCCGCCGCTACAACTCGACCACAACCGGACTGTGGAGGAAATGCCACCGAGAAGGCTTCGATCTGGAGAACGAGGACCTGATTTTTAAAGGTGATGATGATGCTAAATGGGCCACATGTGAGCAGTACCCAGATCTGAAGCTGATGTTGCAGAGCTGTAGCGTGTTTATGTGTTTACTGAACATGTGTGAAGGAGTGCGGAAGAATGCTTGGCGCTATCCAAGGTGCTGATCTCTAACATCAACACCAACACCAACCACACGCTCACGTTCACACTTTCATCACATTTCAGCTCAAATACAGAAACAGATGGAGACTGTCAGGGCAATGGGATCCATTTGAGGTCTAAAGAGACCACGAGGCCCTTTTATTAAGGGAAAACACACTTAACCCTCTCTGGTACAGTATATTGTTTTATCTTTTTTGAGTTCCTTTGGATCACTGTAATGACAAAAGCAGAAGTAGATTTTAAAAATGGTCCAGAAATATGAATTTTCTTTGATGCACCGATGCATTTACAAGCTTCTAAAACATTTCTGTCCTTAATGTGATCAATTATACAGTCTTTCAGGGCAATGGGATGCAGATTTTGGGTCTTGCCTGACGATAAATAGAGTAAATTAAAATTCAGTAGATTTGAAAGATTAATCCTCCTGTTCTTTTTGGTGTCTGAGAGAAAATGTATAATTATGTTTTAGAAAAATAATCAAGCATTTTCCACTCATTACCCAGGTATAAAACATAAATCCAATCAAATTTCTGACAGATGTAGTAGTACTCTCCTGTCAGAGTGTATATCGCAAAATTATATATAAATTGTAACAATGATATACTTCAGTGTGTTCCTGCTGGGATCAAACTGTAACCAAATGGGCATATTTTCCCAATTTTTTTTTACAATAAAGATTCCAAAAGGTGGCCTTTGCTGAGATGGGTTCCCCAAAGAACCCTTCTGTGAACAGTGAACATTATTTTTCTTATTGTGGAGAACATTTTAATAATTTAAAGAACCTTTTTCCACTATAAAGAAACTTTGTGCAATAGAAGGTCTCCATGGATGTTAAAGGTTCTTCATGGACCTATGGATGCCACTAAAGAACCAAAAATTTAAATTATGAGAACTGAATTTATTATTATTCAGTTATAAATATTTTTACATGTACACCACTGGGACCCCAAAGAGGAAGTGAAGTCAATCTCAGCAGGACATGAGAATTTATTGACTTTGATTAATGTTATTTATGGTCCAGTTAGAACATTTAATAATCATAATTCAAATGAAGGCATTGGGACCAAAGTTAAGGGCCTGAATATGTGTTTAGATGTTTTTGTGAAATGTGTCTAAATTGCTTCTCTATGTAGCCTTTCAAACACACATGTATCATCTGATCTTCACTATTATGGCTGAAGTTATCAGATTGTTTCTGTGAATTTCCGCAGGTTTGCTTCAGCGTTGCACGCCGGTGAAGTATTACTATTCCTCACTGAATATCCCACGGAATCTGCCAGTGAACATCACCAAGACAATAAGACAAGATGAATGGCATGCTCTCCGTAAGTCAGATCATGTCACAAAATAAATAAATGCAACTGCAATCTGTTACAGTGACTGAGAATAAAATGTGTAATTAAATTACAGTAACTTATGCTAACGATTACATCTGAATATTTTCACACAGATACGATTGATTTCTTTCCCAAATTGCATTGACTGCTCTAAAGTATGAGATACCAATGTTTCCGGAGTTTAGGACACATGCTTGTTCAATAACTGTTTTATTTCCTGTTTGGGTTTGTGTATATCCTTTATTTTTTACAGCTTTTACAGTTTTTTTCCAAAGCATTGTTAGATGCAGTGTTTTTTGCAAAGATTTGATTTCCAAAACAGTATCATAGCTATTAAACTATTAAGATTACTAGATTATATAATGACATATCAATGTCTAATTTGTAGAGCAATGGGGAAAAGTTAAATGAAAATACATGCATTCATTGAATATTTACCACAGCGGGCAATACCTGAATTGTAGTAAATTTAAAATAACAAATATGATGAGGTATTTAAGAAATAATGGATAAATATACTGTAAAAAATAAGTGTAATTTTAACTGTAAAATTTTGTAAAAACGCT